GGGTCTTTTCCTGCGGCAGCGTGGGTACCCCAAACCCGTATTTATTTAATCTGCCAGCGGTGGAGGGGCTGTGAGCCCGCGGGAGGGCGGGCGGCCCTCCGCGGCCCTTCCCCGCCGGTCCCGCTCGTCCCGCGGTGCAGGCAGGAGCAGGACGGCTCTCCGCTTGGAAATGGGCAGCTAACGAAGTAACTCCTGTCTCAGCCGAGGAAGGAACGCTTCCTACCTCAGTAACCCGTTTTAATCTAGAACCCTCGAAATTAATTTCCCTTTAAATTCCTCCTTTTCATTCGGTTTTTGAATGGATAGGTCAATCCCGTATTTGTTTCCTGTTTGGCAACTCCAATTTGCCTTTTTTTTTTCTTTTTTTTTTTTTTTTTTAAACTTGAACTTCTAAATACCTTATTCTGTGGCAGCATTTTTGCCCGTGTTGTCAGTGGAACAGTAAAAACCCAGCCCGAGCGGGAGCCAGGCGCTGCTGGGTGCTCCCCTTCCCACGGGTGCGATGTACCCAAAAACGCTTTTCTGCTTACTTGGTGCTACTCATGTAAATATAATATAAGGTGTGCGTGCTTAATTGTTCTGTCTAAATCGATGATGCTAATAACGTGTGCAGCTAAGCAGGTAGGGAAGTAATAGAGTTCATTTAGCTGTGCTTTGAAAGTCTTCACAATGTCGTTTAGCAGGTTTGCTGCTGTGTGTATATTCAGGGAATGGCTTGAAGGAATTGATGGAATTTAATGTAATTTTAACATATGCGATTAATATCTTAGCTAAATCTTAAAAACAAAACTAGAAACCAGTGACTTAAAACCAGCTTTGACTATAAAACAGAAAAGATTGGAATCTATACTTAAACCATTTTTTTCTCTTATGCTTCAGACTGTCACTAGTATCAAGCAGGATTGCTACCTTTAATATGGGAATGCTTATTTGTTTCAGGTTGAATTCTTATTTAATCTTCTTTCCTATGGTATAAAAATAATTAACTATGGTATAAAAATAATTAACTATGAAAAAGAATAGAGATTAAGACCAATAGGAAATCTGGTCTCCTTTCAGAGCCGTATTCGCAGAGCGTGACGGCTGCCTTCCTCTGCAGGTTCTGGGCCGTGGGCCGCTTCCCTGGCAGTTTTACGTGCCTTGGGTACCACAGGCGCATTCCCGCTGTATCAAAGCCGTTGATCCCTCTTTTGCAAGATGTGGGGCAGGAGCATAAACACTGGTCTCTCACCTCCCAGATAAGTGATCTGCTCAACTAGGCTAGATGATAGTCTGAATTGCGTACAATTAATTAAGTATTCATTAGAATAAATACTGCAGTCCTAGGCTTCCTCTACTCAGATAAGTGCGTGAACAATTGGATTATAGACTCAAATGCTGTCTCTGCTCTACGAAGTGTGTCTAATTTTAAACATCTGTTTTAGTCACTGAATCCATTATGTCGTGCTGATGAAAAATAATTTCTTGCTGAAGTGTTTTGCTGGATTAAAGACAAAAGAGGGTGTAGTCCAAATCAGGCTTTGTGTGGGTTGCAGTTATAATGGTGGAGAGGGAAGGTGCTTAATAAAGATTATTAGGAAGTTATTAAAGAAGAAAATGGTAACAAACAAGGAAGTCAGCTGGGAGTAGACAGAAATTGCGTACTTGGTGCTGAATGGGAGTTGTCAGAAAGACGTGCTGGGAAGGGTGTAGGAAGTTCCCAGAGTTGCAATGTGGAGAAGCGCAGTTCTCTTGCTGGTTCAGGTGCCCTTTGAGCAGACGACGCGTAGCTGCGTACACTGAATAACGTAAGGGTACCTGCCTCCCACAGGTGCTTTAACTTAGCACTAGCATTTTCAGTTAATGGCAGCCTAGAGCTGTAGTTTAAGCTCCTTACTGTTGATAAGGCAAAGGGCTCTCTTTGCGCAATATTTCATTAACTTCTGCAGAGCTTTTGTAGGTTAATGACGACAAATGTCGGCATCGCTGTTGATGCGCCGTCTTCTTATTTAGTCATGTGGTTGGTGTGTTCTGTTTATGTGTGTTTTTAATAAGCTAGAGTGAGGGAAAATTTGAAACTGGTGTGTGCATCTAGTACATGATTGTATTTTTTTGTGGTTCAGAATTCAGTTTTCTTTACTTTTTCGGTCTAACTTTGTTTTGTCCTTGATGTAGAAGCCGAATGCTACTCCCAGCCATAGCAAGCTTTCTCTGGAGTAACTCATGGCAGATTTTGCTCTCGTCTGCTTGATCTAAAGGAAGAACGTTGTATAAAATAAATCCTCTTCCAGTATGGCTTACACGTATGAACCCTTTCACTGCGGTTGCGGCAAAATAATACACAAAGTGGCACACGCAAGCTGTCTGCTGTCAGTGGAGAGGACAAAATCCCGAAAGCCTTTGTAGGAGTTGTCTATCCATGGGAGAAATTTTGCGAGTAAGATCTTCCCATGGCTGGGCAGGGCTCTTGCCTCCCATTGCGAAAATGGTATAATATTAACCAGCTTGTAAGATTTGTCTGTATTGTTTGAAACAGCCCTCAAACGTAGCTTGCTATTTCCGTATTTCAGCTGCCAAATGTAGCTCATAAATTCTGATTAGATGATTGAATTGCTTGTAATTAGCAAGACAATATGCTATGGATAAAAGGTTTTGATACAGATGAAATACCTTAATCACTGGTTCGTCTGAAGCGAAGGGAAACTTGTTGAAATAAAAGCTAGTGTACTGATTGGTTTTTCATAAAACTTGCACGCAACTGGATAAATCTATCAAATGTTTATTTTAAAACTTTAAAATCTTATTTCAAGATTTTAAGATTCAAGATTTTAAAATCTTATTTCAAGATTTTAAGGACTAGCAAAAATCATTACGGAAGTGTTAGCATATACCTTTTGAAGTTATCCTTGTAAACATAGACCCCAGAACTACTGATCACCTCGTTACAAATCCCAAACCCAGTCATTGCACTGAAATCCGCAACAGCGCTGGGCTCTCCCTGTTGAAATGCCACCCTCCCCTTCCTTCTCCCAGTTACACAGTGTGGCACCTCCGAAGCATTGGAGGAGGTGGCAGAGAGCAGCCTGAGCTCTGCCCCTTGGGAGCGATGGAAGGACCTGTCGTAACTTGGCGTCGCCTTCCGTCGCCGTGTCCCTCCTGCAGCACGCTGGCGGGGCCGAGGGAAGGGCTCCGGAGGCCCTGGGGAAGGCAGCTCCTTCTGCGGAGCACGGAACCGCGTGTGGGTGGGTGAGGCTGGCGCCGAGTCACGGGGCGGCTGGCTTCTCCGTCCCCTCCCGGCCTCTGCAAGCCCGGCCTGCTTGGCTGGTATGGGGGGCAGGCAAATCCGTGTTTGTGATGGAGCGAGGGAAATGTATCTGCATCAAAGTTCTTTGGAAATTAAAGAGTTTGGGTGTCTTAAAAATAAGCATAATTTTATTCAAGCAAAACGTTCTTAGGTTCTGTACAATATTCCACATATGATTAGACCATCCTTTTGAATACTATAAAAGTATATTTCAACTTAAAATGCTCTAGTCTTCTCAGTTCTGAATGTATTCCTCTGAGAACACATAGGTAACTAGATAAAATAATTTTACACGTTATTGTCTCTCAACTAGACAGTGTGAGTTACATATTCCACAGCCCTGTGGCAGCATGACTGAGTTCAGGCAGGTTTGTCCAACTTTTCAGTAAATTGAAAAAGTGTCTTTTAATTTCGTGCACAATGCTCACCTTGTTTTCATGTGCCATATGCGGTTACCTCTCTCCCGTGGTGCCCGTGTTGTCGTAGCACCGGCATGCTCCCGGGCGGACAGAGCCGGGGTGCAGCTGGGAGCTGCCGCGCCTCGGTCGAGGAGGCGCTGGGAGTCAGGGCTCTGCCTGCTGTGACACGGGTGAGAAGGAAATACCAGCGGGCGGTCATTTTTTAAGTATTTTACATTCAGTTCAAATTCTGTAGGTGTCGGAGTGATGCAGGAGTCGGGCTGTGTGTTCTAGACCTCCGTATTGTCTCTTTTGGTTTTATGTCCCGATAGAGTTCTGTTGGCCTCGATGGGTCCCCTTCCCCGACGGACCTACCTCAAGTACGTGGTTTGTGGGAGGAGGAGTAAGCAGCTTTGTAAGTTTTCTGCAGCAGTTATAATTTTGAGATTTCTTAATTAGTACGACTGCTGCTGAAACAGTTTCTTTTCTACTTTGATTTCTCTTTCCTGGTGCTGTTACGATTCACTCTTGGGAGATGTGGAAAACCGCTTCAGGCTTCCTAAACTTACGCAACAGTTTGCAGCTGGAAATCTGACCTACTTCAGAGCTGCTCGTACCCAGCTAAGAACGTCCCCGAGACTGAACTGCAGCAATGCAGCTTCCCAAGCACTGCCCACGGGTTAGGGAAAGAAATGATTTGTTATGAAAATTGGAAGTTTGTACTGTGAGGAAGAATAAATAGTATGCTGTAAGCTAACAAATTGCCCAATCCTTAGAGTAGATTCAGTGGGAATTTTGCTTACTTGGGTAAAGACCTGGACGTGGAGCCTTCGAGCAATGTGTACAATTTGTTGTAACTGGTGGTGCACCACAAAATGGAAGACAGTTTCCACAATCGCTTGTAGACAGTGCTGGGAAAAAAAGTGAAGGAATCTATTTGAAAATGAACAAAACTGCTGCCACTACGGATTTCTGTAATTTAAGAAGGCATATTTAATTTTTCATTCAAGAATGTGCAAATGTTCCATGGGGCATCTTTTTCATAGGTGTCAGTTACGGAGTTTCGTGACCACTTTTTGAAACGTTTGCCGCTGCTTGGTGCATCGGGTGGTGACCTGATGTGGTTGGGTGGCAGGTCCTCTCCCCCTTTCATTTCGGTGTTTAAGCAAAATACAAATTTTCTTCCTCTGATGAAACAAAAAGTGGTTTAGATGTACATATATTTACACCAGCTGACTGTGATGTGTAACATGAAAGACTGTAAGTAAAAGAGAGTGTCTGTGGACCAGGGACGTGTGATCCTTGGAGAGCTAGTCCAGGATGGCAGCTTTGATTTGTATCCGATTCTCTAGGCGCTTACAGAGAATAAGAACCAATTCCTTCAGACCCGCAAAGAGGTGATTGAGAAAAAACAAACTCTAAAACCTGGGAGTCCAGATTGCATACTGCTGTGCCGTATATGGATTATTTCTTTTGGGGTGGAAAGGCCCTGGCTTTAAAACACCTCTAGGTGATTTTGACTAGCGGATCTCAATATGTTTATAGCTGATGACCGTATTCCGATTAATTTGGGAATCCACATAAGCCCGAGCTCGAAGCATAAAAGGTTTTAGAGATTAAAGTGCAGTAATCAATGAAACGTTACTTATTTTCTTCCTTGCAGGGCACTGTTCGAAGGATCATTATCGAGAATCCTGATCAGGTAGGAAAACTGCTTAGCGCTGGCGTTCTGCTTGCATAACTCTCCCTCCTCCCTTAATTATCCCGATTCGGTAAAGTGCTGAGCTACCTCTGTCAGGGGATGCCAAATATTTTGAAATCACATGGCCCATACCTCTGATTGTGAGAGATTAAATTATTAGGGATTGAAAATACTACAGAATCGCCAGTCAGGCTTCCCACCTCTCAGCAGTTAAGTCTGTATTAATGTGCTTCAATAGTATCGCTAGCAGAAATGAATTTCTAACTGCTGCTACTATGCTTGTTTCAAATGTTGTCCAGATGGAAGAACAGTCACTTTGTGTCCAAACAGACGGACGCTCAAATGTAGATATCTTAAAGAACTATCTCGAAGTATATGTGCCTTCAAATTATATTTTTTTTAGTCAAAATTACACTAATTCTGAATTTGCTGTTTGACGACATTTATGAATGTTTTTATTAAAATGTTCTACAGGAGCCGTTATCCCCATTTCTTAGAGGGGGGAATTTCTGTCCTGGAAATAATGTCATCTATGAAAAGACAATAAGAAAATACGAGCTATTAAATCCCCACCAAGTAAGTTGGTTGTTTACATTATCTATTGCAAAAGAAAATTGAGATGGTAGCAGAAAAGTAATGTTCCTGGGTTGTGGTTTTGTTTTGTTTTGTTTTGTTTTTGTTGGAAACTACTGCCAACCTGGGAATTGCCTTGTTGAGCTATAGGACACATTCCCAAAGTAAATGAAACCATTTCTGTATGTAAGGAGAGCAGAAGTTGGCGTGTTTGCTGTATTTTTACTAAGAATTTATTCTTTCAGACTAATAAAGAACACTGCTGTTGTATCTCTAGCACTGTCAGTCTTTGTCCGAATACTGACTGAGAATTAGTTTCTTGCAGTAGCTCCACAACAGAATAACCAATACAAGTTTTTGCGCAAAATGAAAAGACAAATTTTAGCTTTAATTTTTCTTTTTTATTTACTCATTCTTGAAAAAATATATTTGGTAAAGCTGTCTGAAATGTCATCTTAGAATCGGTGTTTTGTGAATAGCAAAAATATTATTTCCTTTTTTATTGCTCTGAAATACTGTTATTTTCAACAGGAAAATTTTTGAAATTAAAGCTATTTCAGAGTGATTAATCTTATCTGTTTGGGGGTTTTGTTTGTTTGTTTTTTAACTGAAGTTTTCATTCCATTCGGGGTTTTACATAGATAAATGAGGTTTGATATCCATACCCTAAAGCGGAAAGCAAAAAAATTTGAGTTGATGAATCACAGCTTTTTTTCCCATAGAATAATAAAGTGTGGAGTTTAGTCCTGGAAGCCATACTTCTACTTCTGCTTTTTGTTACCCAGGGTAGATCTAGATTTATGTCAAATCAAGAGTGTAGTTTTCAAGAAAATTTCCCAGTCTCCTACATAGCGCTCTTTGGCTTACCCTGCACCGTGGCCTTGGACCATGCAAACGACATTTCTTTCAGGTGAAATGAAAATCTGTTGAAAGAGTGCACGCAGAGCACTAGGACTGCTCGTGGGCCTTTAGCCCCTTCAGAACCCGACGTAAGGCCTCAGGATCGTAGAAAGTCCGTATTGCGTCCTCGCTCTGCCCCTCCTGTGCCGCTGTGTCATGCGGATGTAACGTAGTCTCCGTGTCCTGGTTTTGGTGCAGAATGAGATGTTGGTTCAACCTTTTAAATGTGACTGCATTGTGAATTTTAAGTCAAAATTACCTGGAGCCTAGGATGTGCATTTATATACTTCTGTGTAGAATACAAAATACATATTTTTTGAAGTAAACTTGTAAAAGCAAGAGAAACTGTTAAGTTTGCTGAAATCAGTAATGTTTTGACTGGAACATAAACTAGTTTCCAGTTTATTGTTTTGGTGGGTGGTTTTGTAAATGGCACTTTTCTTGGTTATAAAAACAAGACAGGTGTCCCTTCTGCATTGTACACTCTGAACCTGGAATTGCTGAAAGCATTTATAGAGCAAAATGTCTTGAGCAGTTTTTTGTACCAGCTTTCCTTCTAACTGAAATAACAACTCAGTTCAACTGGAGCTCTTTTTTTGTCTCTAAAATACTTAATGAACAGGATATGCGTGTGTTTAAATAATGGAGGTCCCAGTTGCCTGAGTATATTAAGAGTAACACCACAATGAAGCATACAGCTTAATTAGGAAAGGTGTATCTTCTGTGCTTTTCATTTGCAGCTACTAAAATTTGGGAATTACAACCTTGAAGTATTAAAGTGTGAGGCAAACTCATGTTCAATTAGGAAAAAAAGCAATTTTATTAGGATTATTAACATATCTGAAACTGTCATCAGTCTTTCCATGCAAAACCACATTTCATTCATTTATGGATTAATATTAAGCTTCCATCTCGTGAAGATGCGTCCAGCAGTGTAAAAAAGTCCATTCTTCTTTCTAGGAGAAGCAGTATCAGTTTTCTCACCAGTGTCAGATTCCCCAGCAAGGCGATCAGTGCCACGTTGTCCAGCCCTGCCAGCACTCCGAGCAGTCCCAGGTCACGCACCAGTGCCAGCAGACACAGACCAGTAGCCCCTGTGAAATAATTCCAGTCACTGTGAGCGATGACTGCAGAGGAAATACAGTGAGGAGGGTAACAGTTCAAACCTGTGAGCCGGTAAGAATCTTCTGCTGAATGTGTTACTATTCACAGTGTATTTTTGTTTTGTATGCAGAGTACAAAACTTTACAGATTTGCTAATGCCCAATTTCAAAAGTGTTTGTTCAAACTCATAGTGGGGTCATTAAGCGCTATACACGCGTTGTAAGTAAACGGCAGAGTTTGTGTGTCTGCTGCAGATAACTTCTTTGCGTGCTGTGGTTGCAGGCATTGTCTAGAGCTGTCCAAGGCTTTGTCACATGCTGTTAAGGGGAAAAAAAAAAAGCTGTTTTAGGTGTTGTATCCTATTTCTTGTTGGTGTAGACCTGCGCTTAATTGTACTGGCAGATCATCGTTCTGTTGTCCTTTACATGAATTAGGTCTTGCTGGTTTGTTTGGTTTTTTTCTTTATCTGGGAGCATTACCCATTGATTGAGTCAGGTTTCATCTGTCAGTCTTCCTACAACAAAGATGGAGTAGTGTAAGCCTTATGTCTCTAGTTTTGGAGAAAAGATACGTTACTTTCTAAACTGGACATCCATCAACTCAGGATTGCTTTCTATCTAAACAGGTCAGTAAGGATTTCAAATATATTTCAATTTGATGTAGAAGTATTTGACATAGATTCACCAGAAGCACAAACTAGCTTCCTTCGCCCTTCATTGCAAGTTCTGGAGTTTCCAGGGGCTGCGGGAGGTTTGCCATACGTGTGCACTGTTATTTCCGTTGGGGGAGGGAGCGTAGCACTCCTTCCTACACATCTGTTCAGTGCGTAGGGGGCAAGACGTACGTACTTGGTGGGCGCGGTGTTCGAGCTTCGTGGAATCTTCCATAGCCAGATACTCCCATAAACCAACGTAGGTGCACTCGGTTTGGGGTGCTGTTGAAGTTCTTCCATTGTTCACACAGGTAAACGTTTGAAGTGTGGCAACACAAACACCTTTTTTGCAGTGGGGAATCTTGCACCCAGCTGGTTTTATCTGGGTGCTGCCCACGGGCGTTTTATCCACTGCAGCTACGGGAACATGTATATTAGTGAAAGATTTCCTAATTCTCAACACTTCCCATATTAGAGTAACGATGATGATATTGCTGTAGAAGATAATACTTTGCATATTTCTTGTTGTTGTAAAGGAAGTGATTTATTCCTGTATAGTTTGCCACAAACCAGGCTACATGGAAGACTCAATACCAAGGAAAAAAAAACAGTGTAAACAAATTGCTAATTAGCAAGAGCAAACAAAACCAAATCCGTCATCCTTGTAGCATTTCATGTTCAGCTTTCATCCCGAAGCAGGGAACTCTGTTATGATCTTCTTGCGTGTCTTCTGCTAGGTGCACTGCTCCCAGGAAAACAACGACCAGCTGGACTGCCGCTTCTTCGGTGAGCTCCTTGCTGAGCTG